CACACACACACACACACACACACACACACACACACACACACACACACACACACACACACACACACATAATTTGGGACTTCTATCCCTTGATCCCTTAATCAGACTGGCATGGGTTGATCCCCCCGTCAAGCGACTGCGGGGGACTTCCATCGCTATCCGGGTCATCATCACTAATGACACGCTTCTTGCGAGCCGCAGTGTTGCGGCGTCCGTGCTGCGACGCAGTCTTCTCGACTGTCATTTTTTTTGTGGGCCTTCCACGGCCGCGTCGGGGCGCTTTGGGGGACTCCTCCACTGTTGCCTTCCTCTTCCTGCCTGTCCTGCTCTTCCAGAGGTTGTCATGGTGGAGAGCATCGTTCAATTTAGGGAAAAGGGGGCGTGCCGATGTCCTCTGCGGCCCGCGGCTCTTCCTGCTGCTCCTTCCCCCCCTCACTAATTGCAACCTGCTGGTCGGTGGTCTCTCCCTCCGCTCCCACTTCTTGCTCCACGCATGGGCGGGGCCTGCGCGCGTACACGGCAACTGCTGCTTGGTGCTCTTCCGCTGCGTCCGCGGGCTCCCCTTGCTGCTGCTCGCCCTTGTCCATGGCAGGCTGGACATCCCCATCCATTTCCTTCAAGGCCTCGCCCCCGTGCTTTTCCTGTTGTGCAGCATGCCTCTCCCTCTCCCTGCGGGTAGGGATCGCTGCACGACGGGCCTCCTCCTTAGCGACCCGCCTGTCCACGAGTTCAAGATCCCTGTCCGCCATCTCCTTTGCACGGGTGGCCTCTTCCTCGTCCGGGTCATCGTGGCGGTGCAGCAAAAACTCTACGTCCGTGTCCACTCTATCGACGACCGGCATAGGCTCAACCTCGAGATCCGTCCTGTCGCCGAGTTCGCCTACCAACATACGTGGTCGCCGGGACTGCAGGCACCGCACCAAGCTCGAAATCGGAGTCCTCATCCTCGCTGCAGTCCTCCGATGATGACTCGTTCCAGCACTTCCCCTTCCACACCATATCCTCGAGGTCGCTGCTGTCACTAGTGTTGGAATCGAGAAGGTTTTGGGGGATCCTGTTTCTTGGAGCCTTCGCCATGTTCCTTTGCCTCATCTCCTCATCCTGTTTCTCAGCAGCATCCTCAATATCGGTCACCAGTGTCGACCCTTCATTCTGTTGTGGCTCCATGATTGGCTCGAAGAACGAACCCCAGACATCAACGAACCCGCTGTCCTTGTGGTGTCAAGCTCGCAGCAACCGCATGTTCCAATGTATGTAGACGAGCTTCTCGAGGGATGCGGGCGACAAACTGTTTCTTCTCTTCGTGTGGACGAAGTCCATGGATGCCCAGTTGCGCTCAGTGGGGATCGCAGTGCTCCACATCCCCATGACCTTGATTGCAATTGCTTGAAGGGTTGGGACATCCCCGCCATGTGCTGCCCACCAGGTCGCAGGGTTAAGCCTCTTCACATCGTCCACCGCCGGTTGTTCCCACATGTGCTCATCCTTCCGCTTTTTCTTCATAGCTTTCTCGGGCTCCGTGCACACATTCTCCGTCGCAACCCTCGCGGGCTGCTTTTGGAACTCCATCAGTTCCCCCCACAAGTCAGAGTGTGCCTTGTTGTTCCACTCACCCCAAATCTGCCTCAAGAAGAAGCGCATTGCATTTCACATCACTGCACTGTTCTGATCGAAGAGCCAACTTTCATTCCTCCGCCGTGGATCAAGGACGAATGCAGCTGCATGAACTGGCTGCCTCGTCATTTGCACGCAGTCACACACCTTCTCCATGACATCCTCCCGCTCCTTCGTCAGCACCACGTTTGTCAATTTCTGCCCAATCATATCATCGTGCTCAACAAGATTGGTGGGAGGCGTTCCTTTTGCGTCCATTCTCTTCAGCAACTGGAAGATCGGTTTCATGATGTCCACAATCTTCCTCACCTGCGGCCACCATACCTTGGACCTCACTGTGTAGTACACGAGGTCGGATCTCCTGCGCAACTTTTCCCCTGACCATCTCAACGCTCTCCACTTTCCAGCCGACCTCCCATCCACCATCTCAACAAGAACATCCTCTCTGTCTGCTAGTCGTTGGAGCATTTGATACACAGATCCGAACCGCACTTCCGTCGGACGAAGTAAGGACAACAAGTCATCGACAGTCATCATCAAGTCGTGCGTGGCATGATGATTCAGGATGAACTTCACGATTGTGTTCGCGGTTTTCACTGTGCCCTTGATCCACGATAGGTTGGCCAAATCCTTGAGAAGGAGACTGCAACAGTGTGCCCCGCAGGGAACCCATGGAATTCTGGCCACGTCCTTGTCCTTGTGCCGTTCTAGGATCTGCGCCGCCTTCTTGTTAACTTCGGCGTTGTCGGTGCAGATCGCGTTGATGCGTTGCAGTCCAATCTCCCTCATTACCTGCTCCCACAACTTTGCCAGTGCCACTGCATTCTTCTTCCTACCACTCATTGTCACCGTCATCATGAGCACCGCCCCTTGCTCCCCCGCCGCCAAGAAGTTCAGCACTGGCCGATTCTTGCGGTCAGTTGACCCATCAGTGATGAACGTGCATCCAGTCGAGTCCTAGCAGCTTGTCATCGGGTTCACCTCCTTTTGGATCTTCATGTAGATGATGTCTAACATGACTGTCCTCATGTAGTTGTACGATGGGAGCTTCACCTTCGGCCTCGAGTTGGCTACCTCCGGGTACACGACATGCAATGTCTGAGTCGTGTCCATGTTCAAGAAATTGAAAGCAATACCAGCCCTGAACATGGCCTCTGCCCTCGCAATGTCCAGCTTCTTCTGCGCCGCATTGTCCACCCACTGTCGCACAGTGGTCTGTCTCAAGATGGTCATTCGTGTTGTCGACCCTTGCCCTTCCTCACCGCCACCGCCCTCCGCTGCACCTCCACCCTCTACAGCCTCATCAAGTGCATCAACAAGCATGTTTGCAATGTCGGCAACTGCCCGTCCCGCAACAGGCGGTGGCTGGGGCTCGTTCGTCTGCAGATCTTCCAAGCCTTCCTCTCCACATGATGCATGACCACGATGTACATTTGATTCGGCCTCGCCTCCCTTGTAATTCCTCAACAAGTACTTCGTGTTCTTGTCGTTTGGCTGCACTTTAGCACCGCCAACAACCAAAGTGTGGACTATCTCACCTGTCTGCAGTGCACACGGCTTCATCGACTTCAAGAAATGCTCGGCAACCTTACTTGCCAACCCCCTCCAGATTGTCGAGCACAACCTGCACCTGACCCAGTACTCCCCCCTCCCTTTCGAAGTAGCTACCTCCTGTCCCTGCTCACACCAGATCCAAACCTTGTTTTTCTTTCGCAGTGCAACATGTGCCGTCTCACTCCTCCCCTGGAACAAGCTTGCGTCGGTTCCTGGGGTGGGCTCCTTCCCCCCGCCAGCTGAAGTAGCCAATGCAAATGTTGTCCTTCGCGTACTCGATTCAGGCTTGTCAACAACAGGCACTGCAGGTCCTTTCGCCTTTGCTGCTGCCGTTGCTCTTCCCCGACTGCCTCATTCTTCATCGCCCCCCGTCATGGCCACCGGTGAGATATGAGAACAACGAGAATAACAAAAAGAGGAAGTAGAAGAAGAGGAGGAGGAGGAAGAGGAGTGACTTTTTGAAGGTAAAAATAAACGTTGGTTGTGGCTATGGCTACGGTTGGAGGGCGACGACGGGACTGTTGGGCGAAGATCAACAAGAATAAGTTGAACAAAAAAGAAAACCAAAAAAAAAACTTCGTCTGTGGCTATGGCTACCAATGTGGGGGAAGAAGAAGAAGAAGAAGAAAAAGAAGAGAGAGAAGAAGTTAAAATAATAAATAAAAATTTTCGTCGGCTTTGGCTATGACTACGACAAAGGGGCAGACTCGAAGAAGAAGAAGAAGAAGAAGAGGAGAAGGAGGAGGAGGAGGAGGAGGAGGAGGAGGAAGAAGAAGAAGAAGAAGAAGAAGAAGAAGAAGAAGAAGAAATAGAGGAAGGGACAAGCGGAAGAAGAAGACGAAGAAGAACAACAAAAGTTGGTTGTGGCTATGGCTATGGTTGGAGGACGACGACGGGACTGGTGGGCGAAGATCAACAAGAATAAGTTGAACCATCCTCTGCCGTGCGAGTGAAAGGGTTGGAAGGGGTCATAGGCGCCTTACCTTCTTGGTCCAAACCCTTGGACTCAGTAGGAGCAGATGCTACTCCTACTAGTTGCTCGCTTTTGGGTATCGAATGCACGGACACCAGGCTATCACATGCCCTGCAAGTCCACACTTCAGGCATTGTGCATTGTTCATCCTCTCTTGCCACAGTGACTTCCTGGCGTGGTTTCTTTTTCTTTCCTGGCGGTCGTGGTCCTCCCTTGTTGACCACTGCAGCAGTGACTTCCCCCTTCCCGGACTCACTACTGCTCGTCACACCCTCGGCCTCCAATAGCAACTTCTCCATAGTATCGTCATCAAAGACGATGAGGGTGTGGTCCTGGCGCTTTTGAAGTCATTTGCTCTCGTTGGAGAGCCAGATCGCAAAATTGCCTGTAGTTGTACTTGTCGGATTTAGAGTCTGCCACGAGCTGTCCACGAATAGGCTCGGGCAGAGCGCGGGAATAGATATAAAGGACTTGGTTGTCTTGCAGGTTCAATCTAGGAACCTGCAGCAACCGATCTACTTCCCGAGATAGGGATTCTACTAAGGTCCAATGTCTTTGGCCAATGGTAGTGAGCTGGTCAAAGGCCTTATCGGCCGTTGTCTTGTCTAGGAAGCGTTCCTTGATCTTTCCAAGGAACTGCTTCAGATTCATGGTTCTAGACCACTCCCCAATGTCCTCGAACCCCGCTGCGTTAGCTTCTGCCAATACCCATTCTTTTGCTTCCTCACCAAGACACGAAGGAGAGAACGCAACTTGAGAGTCAGGTTCGACAGGAGACGTTTTACAGTAAGTTTGAATCTCGACAATCCATAGCAACAAGTTTTCATCCTTCTTGTTGCAGAACGTAAAAGGCATTTTCATCTTTACTTTCTCCTTCTTCTTTGGCTTTTCGGGTTCCGCTATTACCTTATCCTTAGGAGGAGGAGACTTTGGAGGTGGAGAGGAAGGAGGAGAGGAGGGAGGAGTAGAAGGAGGAGAAGACGACGGACTCGGTTCCCCCCCATTAGACGATTTCCCTCCCCCATTCGTTTCTTTCGGGACAACAAACTTAATAGCATCACTCATTAATTTCTTTTCTGGTTTCTTTTCTTCTTTATCTTCCTCCTTTTCTACTTGCGTCTTACCTTTCACAATATTTGTGATGGTTTTGAGTCCGACAACAATCTCATCTACCTGGCTCTGCTGACGGTCAATCTTTTCTTCACGGAAGGAAAGATAAGTCATAATGTGGTAGAAAGTCTGTGTCATTTCTTCTTCTTTTCCGTTTGTTCCTATAACCTGCCTGATTTCTTTTACTTTCTGCTCCCTTCTTGATTCTTGTTCTCGTTTCCGGGCTAACTCTTCTTTCTTCTTTTCTTCAGCAGCCAGCGTCTCTTTTAACTGCTGAATGTTAGCATCAATGGTTGCCTCGGTCACTTCAGGTTTAACTTCTCCTTTCCTTGATGATTCCATGACTTCTTCTAACTGCTTGATAGCGAACTGGTCTAGTGCCTTTCGGCACTGGGCTATCATTTTTGAGACTTCGGCCCCGGCTGTTGCAACTTCCACGTCCGTAATTGCTTTATTCAGACGGTCTTCTACCGTCTTCAAGTCAAACAGATTACGGACGTGTCGTTCAGCGTCGGGTCCGGACAGATGCAGATCGTTCAAGAGTTGGTTCCATAGTGCTAGTAGTTCCTGCTTCTTTCCCTCCGCCTGTCTCCACGTCTTTAGCTCAGAGGTTCCCTCACCCGAGAAGAACGTCATGAGGAAAAGAAGTAAGAGGATTTTCCACATGCCCAACATTTTGGAAGTCAAATTCGAGAAGATATTCGCAATGGTGGAACATAAAAATAAAAAAAATAATAAAAAGAAACAGATTCTAATTTATTAACTGTTGTTCTTTTCCTTGTCTATGTGATGACGTCCTATGCAATGTACAGGTACTACGTCAGGCCCGGGTGATCAGACACAGCACACAAGTAAGTACGCAAACACCACACACAGCAACAACAGGTAAGTATGCCAACAACAATCACAACAGTTTGTCAGCAAACTTCATCAATTTTGCTGTGTCTTCTTGATGTCTGTGCGATCACACACTCCCCTTGACAGTTGGCACTACAGCTGTATAATCAGTCTAGTCAGCTGTACCGCCGTAGTCTGTAGAGTGCTCCTCTTACTTGGCAGTATCCTGCCTGCCACGTGTCATTCCCGGAATGTCAACATAGCCTATGTTGCCACGTCAGCACTTGAGTCTGTCAATGATGGAATGCCACGTCAACAAATGTGTAGCCTGATCCTCGCCACTTGCCTCTTTCAATCTTCTCATGAGACACCGTCGCCATTCCAGCCAGTCAAAATCATGCCACGTCAGCCAGGCAGTCACCACCTTATGAAGACAGGTGTGATGTCCTGTTCCTGCCACGTCAGCAATCAATTCCGTGTCCTCCAGGCCACGTCAGCATCTGTAGTAGACTCTGCCACATGTCAGCAGCACTAAGTGTGCCACATCATCAATCGTTAGCAGAGTCTTCAGACGTGGCACAGCATGTGCCACGTCAGCAGGGGACCGCGATGTCACGTCACTATCGCTGTCCAGGCTGGCGTGCGGTATCTCCAATCACAGTCCCTACTGCCACGTCCGCAGCCTGGGATCTCCTCTCGCCAGCAAATCTGTCCTCGTCAGCCGACTGCTCTGCAAGTCTTCCAGCCAGTGACCCTGTACTTCGTCAGCAATCCCCGGCGGTGTGTCCTCGCCAGTAAGGTATGTGCCATGTCAATACCACCAGCGTATCCCTTGCCACGTCATCACCTAATTAGTCATAGTATACACTACACTTACCTGCACGCCACCTGGCGCCTACATACAATGTCGTCAAAGAGGAGAACTGCTCCGATACCAAATTGCAATGAACCCAGATCGTGAAGACAATGTCAACAGTGTAAGTCCAAAATGCCGAACAGCTGATGATAGTCAATAATCAAAATCGTAGCCAGATACCCAATAGATAAGAAGACATACACAGACGAAGGAGGTGAGGGGAGAAGAGATTGAGACAAGAGGGAGATAGACAGTGCCCACTTCTCGACGGGCTTCTTCCTCCAGCACCTCCGCAGAAATCAATGATCTGAATGAGTATCTGTAGTATCCTCCAAAGTGCCACGTGGCACAACCTGAAACGGTATTCACCAGTTCGCAGTAGCGAATGCAGATCCCAGGGCTCGATCCCTAGTTCCCCATTTTACCTGTGTACAGTATTGGTGTCAACCCGTAGATTTGAACCTGCGACCAGTCGAAACGCCAGTGGTAGGTAGATTGTCGTAGGTCACAGCTTAGAAGCGAATCGAACTGTAGACTTGTAGGGTAGGAGTCGAGACAGTTCCGAAGTCGTAGCTGTAGGTTGTCTGAAGGGTCAAGGTCGTAGCTGCTACTTACCTGAAGGGGCAAAGTTGTAGCTGCTACAGCACCGAAAGGCCAAGTCAGAGGTTTCTAGAAGTGGCCTTTCGGAGTGAGCCTACGTTGAACAGAGGCAAGTGGTCAAGTGGTGGTAGGCCACCCTGCTGAGTCAACAGTCCCAGTTAGGCAGTCCAGTCCTGTCCAGCAAGTACCGTCGGGGACTGTGTGCACCAAGGGCCAAGGGACATAGGGCAGACCAACGCAGGGCAGAAGTATAAATCAAGAGGCTGCGTCCAGTCATTCATTCATTCCTGCGGATGCCATGCGGAAGCGCTGCCTCAGCAGCTTGTGCGAGGAGGTCTGCAGTGCGCCCGAAGATGAAGTGGGCAGAGAAGTGTCGTGTCGCGATAGGGTAGTGGCAGCTAGCGCTGCCATAGCTGTAATAGTGCGTGTGTGTGTTGCGTGTGGTTACCAAGTGTTGCGTGTGGGACATCCAGGGTGATCCGAAGTGTGAACAGTGAGTTGTCTGGGCGCTTAGTCGCCATAGCCAGTGGACGCGAACTTACCTGGAAGACATATCTCTGTGTACTGTGTGGGCGCATGTCGCCAGTTGTGTGTTGCTGTCCACGTGCATGAAAAGAGTGAATAAGTCGAGTCTGAGTGCAAACCAATCGTTTCCACATCAGCAATGAAGC